TATATCTGCTATAATTATAGAATAGAATAAATATAGAAAGTGTTATAGTACTTTTTTTTACTTTTTTACTTTTTCAATAAAATTAAAACTATTTATAATTTTTGTAACAAATCAATTTTAGTTTTTAAAAATTCGCTTCGTTTTTCCAAGAAAAATACCATGAAAAAAATTGTTTTAATCTATCTTCAATAGTTTACAAGGTATAGCCGTTTAAATAATGAATTTGTTTATAACTTGAAAACAGATTTTAAGGAAATCAACTTCGAACAATCGATTTAACGTATGAAATTGAGTCTAGAAACGTTGAAAAATACTATGGAGTCCAAAATTTTCGTAAAGACTCGGCCAGTGTCCGGACTTGTTGCGCTAAACGGAAAATAGGTATTTTCGGGACACTAGGATGAAAAGTAGCATATTGGCCTAGGACGGTAATATACTATACTGGAAATATATTTAAATGGGAATTTAAAAAGAAAATCAAAAAAGAAATTTATTGTATATGCTGGCACATGAATTTTACTGTAGCATAAGGATTAAAACATTAAATTAGACAATGTCAAATTGACAATGTCCGATTGATATTGTCAGATTGACATTGTCAAATTGTTGGTACGATAAAATTCAACTCGTTTCAATCTGAGCGAATATTAAATAGAAAAACATATAAGACAAAGGCGAGAAAATCATGTTGCAAAGCTGTTATTTTAGTCAAATTCATTACAAGTAAGCTATAGAACAAGGCATTGATTTGAGTTTGTTTATCCACTGAAAGACTTGAAACTTGATGAATCTGGTAATTTGGTATCGTGCTTTTTTCACGTTAAATTGGTTGAAGTGGAACATTTTCCATTACACGAGGAGGGACAATAAAGTAACGAAGTTAGGGTCAGTGCTAGCAGTTGATTTAAACTAGTCGAAAAAAAGGTCTTACTTTGAAAGCGGTGACGAGATAATTATGAAGAGACCGATCAAAAGGACGGCGTCGTCGATTGCCAGCTAGCTTCTGCTGTTTCTCGGCTTCCCACCGAATGCAAGACCAAGGAGACGGAGGAGAAGACGCGGTGGCAGCCGATTCGGCTTGAATCGAGCGCATAGCGCGTACGGCCGGACCTCTTTCCCGCGGCTTTTTCGGTTGAAGCTGTTGCTGCTTCAAAAGCTGCATCTTGTCCTAGCACATTAGAGCATCGCGCAGCATTCGAAAATGATTGGTTATAACGCTCGAGCGTAACTGACCAGGCGCGTTCAATGCTCGGCAGACATCCGTTTCGTCGAGTCTGCGCGATATAACATTGTTGCGAAGACGAGGTCGGGACAGCAGCAGCGCATCACTGGAGACAACGGCACACGATTCTCGCTCGTTTGCGGACTCGAGGAAAGCGCACTAAGCACCGATTCGAACTCTCGCCATTCACAATTCACTGCACACAAGTTCATAGAACGAGCAGTGCCGTTGCTGCACGCGAGAACTGACGAGAGCACATCAACTACTAGAATAGCCTGGATTATAAATAGATTCACGCTCTTTCTCTTTCGCTCTGCCTATTTCTTCATCTATATCTGTATGTACCACTGAAATAGTTCGAACCACTATATGATACTGGCACTGGGCATAAATGCCAGCATAATGCACAAGTCTAGGCACTGCAAAATGCACTTGTATTTGTCTCATTCCAGACATAATATGAATTAAAAACACGATTGCGGTATAAGTACGATAATATTTGTACACTCGCGAAGTGGAGACGGCGGCGGTGACATTCAAGAGCGACGGGAAAAATGACCGTACATGGTAAGTTAGTTATAACGCAATAAATAGCTTGGTTGCGCGCGCCTCGTGCGAAATCTGCTCGTATACGGTGTACCTCTACTCGTGCTGCAGAGGCGAACGCATGTCAAAATGCCGACCACAGTCCAAACTATTCGCGCCGAGTTTACTAGTCGGATTTCGGTTCAGCATATTGAAGCGCATCCAGCGTAACGTACACACTCGCGCACACGCGATTCCCTATCTAGTGGGCAGCTCTTAACCTGGCTAAAAACTCGAGTGTTTTAAGCCTGACTCGGCGTTTGTATTCGCTCTCAGCGACAGCGGTAAACAGCGCTAAAGAGGCAAATTCTGAACTTCGCGCCCATTATCAAAACGTCAGCTTTGATAATGGTTTGGGCATTAATCGAAGTGCGAGCAAAGTTCTTGAAACTACCACGGCGCTGTTCAGCATGAGCCGATAGCAAACGAAACGTCGGCTGCTTATTCTGATGTATCCTATTCCTATCCTATAAGAGTGGTGAGGTTTTTAGCGTGAGCAGTTTATAAGCGCCGTGATTGGTCGTTCAGTAGCTTGCAATTGTTTACTGGCGCGCAAATACGAGTGTTGTAGTAAGTTGAGAAAGTGGAATATTAAACTATTGACGGCTTGAGACTCTAATTTTGATGTTTACAGTTTATACCATAATCTTCATTTATCTTATTTTTCTATTTTAAATATTAAAAAATGGCAAAGTAGGATAAGAAAGAAGAGAGCACGCGCAGCGCGCTGAAATCGGGCTAGTATAGTACTATTATAGCTTACAAAGTTTTTTAAAGGTTCAGCAGAAGATAGTGAGCTCCGATTTTTTATTGATTATGCGGTTTGATCGATATAGGTAAATGTAAATAACTTGGCGGTTTTTTCATACTGTCATTTTAAAACCCCAATATTAATTATTAAGTACTCGTAAACGCATGAAAATAAAGCAAATTTGATACTGAAAAAGTTCAACGTGTTTTGACTCCATTTGAATCCTACTTTTTGTGTGTTTCACAGTATTGCTGTACAATTCCAACACTAGAAAGTACTTGAGATTAAAAAAAGTGGGAAAATACTTATTAACTACCTGTAAGCTAAAGTCTCTGTCTCTAAATTCAGTTTGAATGAAAAATCAAGATTGATTGCATCCATTTACTCAAATATTGAAGTGGAACTTCTTTAGGGGCATTGGGTATGAAGAGCGATTTTTGCTATAGCAAGTAGGGCTGTGCGAGTACCCGAGTTTTCGAGTTTTACTCGACTCGAAATCTAGGAAAAAACTCGAACTCGCCGAGTCGACAATTATCTTTATAATTATTATATTTTCTTTATAATTATTATTAGACAACAATCTTGCTTTAATACTTTATGCGTTTAAGTATTTGAAGCCGAAAACGGTCTATCTTTATCAGATCTCTTAGGTCACTCTCATGGACGGTAAAATTTAGCGATAAGCCAGACAAATTCGTCAGAGCGTGGAATTGATTTTTGGCTGCTCATTTTTATGACGACAAAAATACAAAATAACAAACACTACGATGTTCTTGACGAACATCGATAACTTTTGAAGTTTACAGTTATTCAAAGGCTAGCGTCCACTGATCAGAGATATTAAAACAAGAGCTAAAAATGGAGACAAGAACTTGGAACTTGGATTGGCAATCGAGGGCGACGATTCGATCGACGTGAACGTCGATGGAAAATGAAGACAAATTGATATATAGAATATCTCGTCACGCGCCAATATCGAGAAGTTATCTGCACTTGGTCACGCGTGTCCTCGTGCAGATGAGCTACAGAGAGCATCTAACAAATTTCAATTCGCGTCTCAACTCAATAAGATGAGTAGAGCGTGGACAAAAGGCGACAATAGAGAACAAAAAGCGGTGGAAGTGGCAGTCACGAAACTTACATCAATTGACAGTTTTAATTATCCTGAAAAGTTTACACTTTGCATGTCAGTACATAATATTAGAAAGTAATGCAAAAGGTAAAAGGAGTAAACATGGTCTCCATAACCAAGAAAAATAACACGTCAAGTATACCTATATACACACTAAGATGTCTCCTATAGTCGAGAAGCAATACTTCCTAATAATGAAATGCTACACGACGAGGCGACGCGCTGTAAAAAGTCTCGTTCTCGTTCAATGTCAACGAGAATATAGAAAAAGATGATAAAAGAAATAGAAAAAAATATCCTTGGTAAAGATGATGGAAGGTGCTCAAGTGCACGCACTGCGCCAATGCAAATATTCCTCTATCTTTCTCTCCCTCGGCCTATAATATTGGAGAGACGAGACCAGTGGGTTTATTGTACTACACTGTTTTTTATAAATTAAAAGATGGATTAAAAGAAAAGATGCGCAGCAGTGGCCATGCTCTGACTTGTGTACAACTTGTGCATACAGCCATTGCAAGTGTATACATATGTTTCATATGTACATACGTCGATGCAACCACGATCCACGGTTTAACATTACCTTTTTCGCGGCTGAAAAAACTTCAAGTACGCCTGACCATATAAGGAAACTCGTGCATGTACTCCAGCAGACACGGCACGCATATACGAATACGCACGCACACATACTCGTGCAAAATTACGCAGCTTTTACAGAGCGTCGAGCGTGTACCGCGCGAACGTTCATAAGGCTATCCTCTTTGCTCTCCTAGACGGGGCTCCTAGAGTATATCGTAATGCAGTATATAGTATAGCAACGACAGCAAACGAAACAGACAATGTGTATATGTGTTTGTGTGAATGTGTTCATACATCGGAGTAAGATAGAGAGGGAGCGAGAGAGATATTATGTACCTATAAATGAGTCTAAAGGTGCGCTCATATAAGTGAGCAGAGTGTGCACACAAATGACAAGTTTTTCGCATTACACTGCCCGTCATAGCGAAAGTACAAAGCATAATATTTACGATGATAAATGCAAAAAAGAAATGGCACGACATGACTCGTTAGATTCACGATTACTAGACTTTCAAAATAGTAAACTGTTGGCAAAAAAACTAACCCACAGAGACTCCGTATTTTGCTTGCAACACAGAGTATAATTCGCACATTCGAGTTGCTGTACTTGTCATACTGACATTGCTACTAAACACAGCACTGCACTTCCTAACCCTTTCTCAATCTCGAGCGAAGGAGGAAAATCGAGCAAATAAATGGACGCGACATGTCACTAAAAAAATAAAAAGACTTACCGAACTCTGTGGAGAACTGGATACACTGGGGGAACGTTGTACCGTGACCAAAGCCATGGTTTTTTTATAATCGATGGCGATGCAAAGCGAGTTGTCGATCGCGACGTATCCTTTCCTGTATTTTACTCTTGCCACGATGGCGAGGTCGTTGACGCCCCGGATCACAACAACAACAGCAACGGCGACGCCAGCACAGTAGCGGCAGCGGTAACGCCTGCACTCGGCAGCGATGCAACTCGACCGCGATTACGAATCCACAGCTCGGCAAGTCTCTCAACGCCAGTCTGTCAACTCTGGATGCTCGTTATTATCACGCACTCGCACTCTTACCGTTATAGATTAGCTCGTACATATAGAGATGTATGAATGAATAAGTGCACACTCTACACAAAAACACTGGACACACGCACGCACACTGTCGACAGTCGACTTTAGCTCGACTTTAGCCAGCTATGTAAGCTTATAAAAATCCTCTCACGAGTCCACGACCCTTGGGTTAACTGGCCGCAGGGCGAGTGCAAAGCATGGCGCGTCAGTGGCCCTTTTCGTAAAATACTATCACCGCATGCTACCGCTGCAATACTCAACGACGACGTTATAGCTTACGTAGAATGACATGATCGCGTATAGGCTGTGCTACACGCTTGGAGCAGCCATTTTCCCCCATTCACCAATACTCTGGCAGCAAATTAATGCATACGCACTGCAGCACAAGTATCAAAATCAACGGCCAAAAGAAAAAGACTAGACGAAAAATCGCGTATAACGCTGCTGCACGGAGAGCAGCGACGAGAGGCCGTTTTAGCGTATCACTACCTCGAGAGTGGAGATTCACCGCGGCGCGACATCATCAGCTGCTTCTGCTGATGCTGCACACTCCAGACAAAGATGAAAGATAGATATACCAATTTTGTATATACACACATATGCGAGCACACGCGAGCTCGTACACAAACATATACCTATTTAGTATATATACGCTTTGCGGACGCACACACAGTGTAATCACCATTCGCGAATTACAATTTTGCGAGAGTAGCAGCAGCAGCAAACAGTTTTGTCCAACGCATGCGCACTTCGGTTCGACCACTGCTTCTGACTGCTGAAAGTATTTCTGCCTTTGCCGTTTGCCAGCTCTACTAGACAGTAGTACACTTGACTCTTGTGTCAGAATAGTTGGAGTATAAACAGTTGCCTACAGTTTCTATTCCTGCTCTATCAAGCTTCGTGCTCCAGACTTCAGTGTTGTTGTAGTCCTCCACCGTACAGCCTACTGCAACCCACCAACCTTATACCTAGCGACATCTGTGTATTCGGACTGAATATTGTAATTACAATAAATTCGTGCAAGTATTCTATTGATAAGGTGGGTTCACTACTTTTACCGCAGTGTGATTTTTTTAAGTTACTTTGATGCCATGCTTTAGTCTTTTACATTTCATATTTACTGAAGAGAAAGAAACTAGTATTGATATTGTTTATGACGTATTGCTTGTATTGTTTTTATTAGAGTCGAAACTTATGGTACTGTTAAAAATCGATTATTTACAGAAGTTAGAGTAACTGGGTCCCTTAACATTTTATGTTTTTTTGTAGAATACATCCATACGATACTTACTAAAGTTAGGATTTTTAATAACAAACTTTTTCCAATAGAATAATTCTCCACCAAGAGCCAATGCGCCTGTAAAATAACCAATGCCTAAAGCAACAGCAGCACCTTGAAGTTTACTAATATCTATAAATGCTTTAGGAGCATTTCCTTCTTGTTTCAATTCTAAAGTTTTAGATTGCTGAGTAATGTCGTTAATCCACTTTTCAACTAATCCAGCTTCAATGATTCGTTTCACCTAAAAATTATGTGCATGAATCAAAAATACTGTGGAAAATTAATTTATTTTTACTTATAATGATAGCATTTACTATTTCATCAACTTTAAATTTCAAAGGAGAATTCTTATCCATTCCTAAAGAAATAGGCATATTGACAACACATTCTTCCATGACGTGTAAATTATGTTCTGAAATTTTTTTCTGACTAACTGTAGTACTGTCCTTTGATTTTTCATCTTCCAGTATTTGTCTCTTTACTCTTTCACGAACTAACACATGGGAATTTTCGTAATAACACAAACTCCCATTAACAACAGCAGCTACTGCATCTTGTTCATCTGATACTACAACATATCTATTACTTAAAATCTTTAAATTAATGTCAGAGGAATTTACAAAAAATTCTTTTGTTTCCTCATTCCAGCTGCCAACATTTACTTCACTTTTAACTAATTGTGCAATAGTATCAATAGTTTCTCTATAAATATTTATAGTATAGTAACTATGATAAACCCAAAAATAAGAAACATTTAGTTAAATTACCTTTTTACAGAATTAGCTAAGGAGGCTGTCATACTAGCTTTATAAAAAGTAGTTATTAAAATTGTGTACAGCCACCATACACCTATGAATATTCTTAGTGACCATACCTCAGGTAGTTTAGGTAAAGAAACTTGCAATAACATGCTGTAAGTGTATAAAATACTATTTTGGGCATCTTCAAATAAATACAATCCTTTCCACCCTCTTATTGCAGGAATGGGTTTCTGTGCAACTCTCAACTTTTTTGATTGCAATAAAATTTGAGTATTTGTATATTCATTGTTATAATTTTCATCTGTACCAATGTAACGTTTGTAAATTTGTGCAATCATAAAAGAAATAAAACCAGCCAATAGTAAAGTTAAAATAACAGTTAACCAAGAGTACAATCTGAAAAGATAAAAGTAATGCATCAAGTTTTAATTGGTCCTTTTAAACATTGTAAATTGCAAAACTGTCGAATTTTAAGTTTTGCTATTTATATAACTGCTGTTACCTAAAAGATAGAATAAGAAGTTTCCAGGAATTTTCGGTGAGAGATTCAAGGGTCAAAAATGTCAAACATTCTGTATTGTAAGGCCATGAAAGATCGAGTATTTGCAAATGTCGTAAATTATAGTAAAAATCTCCAAGATAAAACGTTGCTGCGACGTCCATAGCTTCTCCCAAAAGACCAGTAAAAGTGTCGTTTTTTGACATACCCCAACGATCACTTTGCACATTTTCAGGTTGATAGAAAGTAGGCTTGAAATTAAGTACTTTAGCAATTATCAGGATCATCTGAAAGTAAAATATTACAATATAAAGGATGAGATCGAAAAAAAATCGGAAATGAACATTTCCCACTTCGAATTCGACCCCGAGTGGATTCAAGTTTTTCTCTATGTCGCTTTGATTGTCGAAGAACATTTTGGCATCCTCTGTGACGGCAGGAACATGCTCAAACACGGCAATCCTGGAAAAGAATGGTTCGACACCTTGTCCAAACTTATTTTCTATATATGACAGAGCATATTATTTGATAACCGACTGTAATTTCTTTCCTTTGAGGTCGTGTATTTTTGAGGTAAAATGTCCAACACCATGGCGAAATCGATTTTCATGCCACGTATCGATATATCGGGTAACAACGAAACCTTTGGTCTGAGCTGGAAACATGATGATATTGAGATCGTACCATTCGTATTTTTGTAATTGTTTATCACCAGCCAAGCGCCTCTTGAGTTTGAAGTTGTGGCGTATAAAAATCGAATTGATCAACCTATTCCACAAGTAGCGCATATCGACGTGGAAAATTTGAAAATCGTACATGAAAATAAATTTGCCCCGAGTGTTGATGAGTCTTTCCCTGAACAGATCGTCATTCATACTCATTTTTCATTCAAATGATTTAGCTCTAAAAATTAAAGAAAGCTAGTGGATTCATAAAAAAAATCCAAGGATTTGCAATTTCATTATGTGATAGAGGATGAATGAACAAGTGATTTCAATGATACATGGATCTTTGTTAAAATTCATCGAGCAAATACTTTAGCGTATGAACGATCGGAACTCACTCCTCGGTATAACGAAGAAAATTAGCAACTTGTAATCCATTTGATATCAGGATGAGATAAACATCGCAGCTGAGATAGGTAGTCTCCTCCAAGATCCGTTTTATTCTCTGACGGGGCGGTGTGAATTCGTCGTTTTCTCGAACGTAAATCTGTTTGTTTCGTTGCGTCGTTTTTTAATTCAAATCATGTTTTATTTCGACAACTGAATGCCATTTGCGCTTAATAGGTGCATCACTTACCCGATAAGTCGGCAGAAATTTGAACGTTTCTATTTGCGCTAAATCAACTCGACGCCGATAATAAGTGTCTAGAATAGTTACGAGGCATTGACTATCATCGGCAACTTCTTCTATCAGTACTTTCACGAGCTTTTGCAATTGATAATTTTTTTCTGATGAAAATAAACTGAAAAATACACGTGACATTATTGTTTTGGTTGTCGAGCATAAGCTGCAAATGAGATATTATCTGTGTCGATCGATCGACTTGATCGAAATCGCAAACCTTTTGTGCAAAGTGTTCGATGCGCACAGATTAAGCAAGAAAAGATACTGTGACAATTTGAATACCCACATTTTATCTGCAATGGCTTGAAAAATGCAAGGCAATTACAACAACAATGCTATCTCGAATATTATCTCTGGCCTCTTGTAAAGAAGCTCGCGTTGCTCGCAATGAAGATCGAATCGGCGCGCAATCGATGTGCGCGGCTAAAAGGCCACAGTCCGCCGTTGTTTTCAGGTCAGCTGTAAGATTTTTTTATTATGCAGAGTACAGTAATGCGGTGCATTTTGCATCGTATACAGGCTCTATTTAATGAAATGCTACTACTTTGTTTTGCATTATAAGTAAATAATTCATTATGTATGCGATCGATGCTAGTTACTCATCCGAAAATTCAATTGGCTCGTGTCTGTTGCTTCGTAAATTATGCCGTATATAATTGAGCTGCGAAGAGTTATATTCTAGTTCATGTCGAAGAAAACCTTGATCTTCTTTGACACGTTGATCGCCGGCGAAAGAAAACTGTCACCGATACGCCGATGCACGGGCAGCTACCATGCGGGAAGTAAAGGAATTTTTGAAAAAGTATCTCTAATGAGACAACTTGACGCTCGGCAAATTCAGATCACAACGAGGGAGTACCATCTGTACATGGTGCATTATTTTGAGTGGCTAATAAGGACGAGATTGCAGAAACGGAAAAATTTATTATCTTCTTTATTATGATTAATTTTTTTGAGACCTCTGATGTTTTTGATACTCGATTTTTTGTTAACGCTCACGGAGAAGACATATCGCACTTTTATCAAGTTTAATGACGACAACAAATTTGAGCATTTCTCTCAATCATCCACGAAAATTGTTTGTCAAATCAAACGCTAGAGTCAAGAACAGAAAGTGCTTGAGAATTTGTAGATCAAGGAGGGTGTACTATATTTTATTATTACGATTTTTGCGTGCAAATGTTGTTAATACCTCGTTTCTGAAACACGACTATCGTGGATTAGAGGAATCTAAGAAATTATCCAGCACAGCAGCATTTGAAATGATTTAAAATTTTACTGATGTTGAGGACACATTTATTATCTGTATAAGATCGTTTTCAGACTATTTAAAAGGGCCAATGATATAAAAAAATCTTGTTTGAGACGTGTAAAATAATGGCCATACGTTGGAAATATTAAATACTCATAAAAACGTGTGTAATGAGTAAAAACAATCGATTTTGAGTTTAGGGCAGGTGATGGAGGAGACATTTTGCACGTTTATCTCTCTAGCCAATCAATTTGGCAGTAATTTATGTCATCTTTATTGTGGCGAAAGGTAGAATTCTGTTGAATGAAAGGGTTTGTAATCTTAGTTTTAACTTTTTTCACATTTCGTATGAGTTTTTAGACACATAATGACGCTTTTCTGAAATATTGCGTCACATAATAGAAAAAATTTGAGCTTTGTTTGCTTTGCCATCATTTTATAATTTTTTTTGAAAGAGTGTCTAAAGTCACAGTCTATCAGGCACTATTTTATTGATTTCAGACACAGACGAAGGCACCATTAAAATTTGTGCCATCGTTCACAGAGCATGAAAAGTAGAATAAAAAAGTCAGCAGTGCTGAGAAAGAGTCAAAAAAGAATGACCAATAAAAGTAAAGTTTGTATTATTCAGAAGAGAAGTTTCTGCTAAGATTTTGCGATCGGGCCTTGCTCGCGAATCGAGAGACCGTGACGCAGCAGACTCGCGAGCGCGCGCAACCAGTGACATCGACATTGCCCGCGTGTGTGCACCTATACAAGTGAGTGTGTGCACACCGACATAAACACACGTATATGTGCAGCAGCTAAAACTTGTTTCTCTCGACTCCTTCAGTTCTCCTCCACGCGACTCCTAAGTGTGTCGGTAAAACTGCACGACGCAACTCATAGTGAGAATCGAGCCTCTGGTGTGTGTGTGTGTGTGTGCGCGCGTGTGTGTGTGCAGCTCTCCGACAAGCACGGTGCAGTCATCGCTGACAGTCCCGAGCTCTTCGGTCTATAGTCGTGCTACAGCTGCTCGCGCGTCCGCCACGCTACGCACAGAAGTAAGTCTCCGATCTCATATCCGAGCGCATGATTTCATTTATCCGATACAATTCGTTCTTGGTCTCGTGGCTCAATCGACAAAGAAAACACGTAAAAACGGCAACTTTTTCAAAAACCGGATAAGCGCAAGTATCGGTTAAGCGACCGCGTCCGATCGCGCCTCTGTGAGTAAGGGTCAATGCGCCAATTCCATGCGTTGGATCGTCATCCGAATTGCGAGTGGCGTTGATAGAGTAGTGCTTTAGTCGCCAGTTTGCTTTCGTCGCGTTTTGACACATTGCAGCACTCGCTCTTTCAACCTACAGCTGCATCGAACGAATCGTTGTGATTCTGCAACGTCGAGCGTCATTTTCTTCGCTTTGATATCATGCGGTGAAGCTAATTATACTCCCATTTTTTCTACATACAGAGAGCGCATTAACGTTGCTTATTTTTTAGAAAGTTGCACGAGTAGTATCTGTTACCGCTGCAACTGTTGCATATATGCAGCTGCATTTTTACGATTTTGTTCTTCTGTATCGTTCGATGACGAGTTAACGATGATAAAAAAGGATTTATGTGTGCTTAAAATATGCAAACATTAATGATATCGATGACTAACCAGTGTTGCATTATCAACTTTATAGATTTTCCGTAAGAAAATTTGCCAAGATGATGGATACTATTCGCGATATGGCCAAAGGGCCTCTCGATACTTACAGGAGGAAGGCGAGTTTTGACTGGAAGTCCATGAAATTGCATCTCGAAGGACAGGATTGCATTAAATTTCAGGTAAATACTTTTATGCGTCTACTCTCTTATTTTCGCACAACTTTTATCGAGCGCCAAACTTTTGTACACGGAGCAAGACTGAAGCATCGTACGACTCTGGTTTCGCATACCTGATAGATAAACGAATTATATTGGCGCGTGTATGCAATGACTAGGCGCTCCTGCGATTATATTGAAGAAAAAAAACTTGTAAAAAAAGCTCTGGATCTAAAACAAGTTCTTATACTCTGTATACTTATTTTTTGAGAAACATCGTCATCATCGTTTTCATTCTAATTTGCATGAGATTTTGTTTACTAGTAACTACTAGTGCTCGTTTAAAATTTTGATTGAGTTCGTGTACATCTGCAATTATCAGTTATCCTCGCGCAACGTGACCTTGAAAAATTTTATGAAAAATTTTCGGTTTATTATAAATATTTTATACTTATTCAATGGGCCTACTGCGTTTCTCCACAGAACAAATTATGGGACCTCGTAGAAACTCATCCAGCTTTTAAAAAAACGACAAAAGAATTGAACCTGGACGAAACGAGGCAACGCTGTAATGCTAAAATTCACGCAATCATCGAGGCTGACATTCTAGTAAATACATTGTTTATCTTTTGCTTAAAAAGTTTACTAGTACATTTTATTTGAAACGATTTTATCAATCTTTAAATATAGCCAACGGACAATAATACGTGGTTCAATCATTTATTCTACGTCGATCCATCAGCACCGGTGAAAATTGGAGTAGTTTATGGAATGGTGCCCAGTACTCTTGTATCGCTGGGTACGGATCAGCACTTTGAATACATTCAACAAATGGCCGAAGGAAAGGTAAGCATTTCGTAATTTTTACAGTACTGATTACCATCGTGCTTGTCAAAAACTGATTGTTTTTGTTAGAAATAATGATCGAATCTTAACATAAAACTCAATTTAACATATAATCGGAATATGAAGCTTCCAATAATGATACTACTACAACTTTGGAACTGAATGTTTTAGTAATTTGTTTATGCAAATTAAATCTTTCAGATTAAATTTTTAGAAAATATATTATTACAGTTCATGAATTAATAAATTCCAGTTCAGCGGGTGCTTCGCCTTGACGGAAATTGGCCATGGCACAAATGTCAAGGGTATGCGAACGCAGGCCACGTATAACCCGAAAACGCAAACTTTTGTCCTACACTCGCCAGATTTCGAAGCCGCCAAGTGTTGGGTTGGTGGGCTGGGAAAAACAGCGACTCACGCAGTTGTCTATGCCCAACTCTACACTCCTGACGGTGTATGTCATGGATTGCATCCGTTTGTTACCAAAGTCCGCGAGCCCGAAACTATGTTGCCCCCCAAAGGTGTACAAGTTGGCGATTTGGGTGAAAAAATTGGTCTCAACGGAGTCGACAATGGCTTCGTCATGTTCACCAATTATCACATTCCACGAACAGCTTTGTTAAATAAACAGTCCGACGTTACACCTGACGGGAAATACGTCACCAGCGTTAAGGATCAGAGTAAGCGATTCGGTATGTATATTTCATACTTAATAATCTGATTGTTAGACAAAAAGAATCTTTTTAATAATTGCGTTGTTTTACACGTGCAGGTGCATCACTGGGTGCGTTGTCGGCTGGTCGAGTGACAATTGGTTCTATGTGCTCATTTTATTCGGCTTTGGCAGTAACTATTGCTATAAGGTATTGTGCTTCCCGAAAGCAGTTTGGACCCAATCCGAAAGAAGAATGGCCCGTTATCGAGTATCAAGTTCAGGTAATAGATATGCTGCAGTAGTCATTGCGCTGTAATATTGGTACTATTGTACTATTATGAATAGCTTCGTTATGTCTCTTTTAGAGAATTTTTTTTTATATGATTTTCTTCACTTTCAGCAAGGACGTCTTATACCTCACTTGTCAGCCACATATGCAATGCGTATCTTCGCCACGAACTTCCTCAACATCATGTGGGAGTTTCAACAGAACTTGATCGCTGGTGAGAGCAGCGATCTTATGTCAGCTCTAGGCATGGAAATTCACGCCCTCTCGTCGGCAACCAAACCACTTTGCGCTTGGACCGCCCGCGATGCCATACAAGATTGCCGCGAATCTTGCGGTGGTCATGGCTACCTTAAAGGTAAAACCACAAATTTTTGAAAATTAATTCCGTCTCAAGGACATAGTAATCTGTCAATATTATTTCTCCAGTCTCTCGATTAGGAACATTAAGACAAGAACACGATGCAAACTGCACTTACGAAGGCGAAAGCAACGTTTTAATTCAACAGGCTAGTCAGTGGTTATTGGGCCAGTATGCAAATGTTCTCAAAGGTGGCCGAGTTTTGTCGCCACTCGATACAGCCTCTTTCTTAGATGATTCCCATAACATCCTAAAATATTCGTTCAACCATTATACGATCGAAGATACAATGAGACCAGAGAGTAACTTATCCTGTTTGCTGTATGATCTATTTTTTACCTGACCGATCCATACATTTTTTAATATTAATTTTAGATCTTCTGAATTGTATGAAATGGATCACTTGTTATTACATGCAGAAAACACATGAACTGGTATCTTCTTTCAAACAATCTGGCTACTCTGATTTTGAAGCTAGAAACGATTCGCAATTGTTCAATGCTCGAACTTTAACGTTGGTGTACGGAGAGGTAATGGCGATGATACAGTATTTTCGATTTTTTCTGTATAACTTGATTTATATCAAAAATTGACTTTCACAGCACGCCTTGACTCAGCAATTCATTAAAAACAATAGTAATCCTGTTTTCACTAGCGACGAGAAACGAATTTTGGACAAGCTATGCTCGTTGTATGCTGCTTGCAATATTGAAAAGAGACTTGGTGACTTTTACTCTGGTGGATTTGCGATGCTCAATAGTAAAATGGACAGTCTCATTCGTCAAGGTATTATTTTATTGTGCAGAGAACTGGTCGCTGAATCCGTTAGTCTAGTAGATGTTTTGGCACCACCTGATTCCGTTATTGATTCACCTTTGGGCATGTCGGATGGAAACGTGAGTTGAATATGAATGCAAATTAAATTGTACATCACCCAATATATTCTCTTATAAATTTTATTTTTAGATCTATAAACATTTAGAAGAAGCAATCAAAAGCAACCCTGAATGCTTAAAACGACCCTCTTGGTGGCGAGAGATTTTGAAATCAAAAATGTGATTACTGGTGCTTTGGGGATATAGATTTATATTTTTAATTAATATAGGCAATGAAAGTTTATGGTATTTTGTTATGAATTTTATATAAAAAAATTTTTAATGTTTATAAATATTGTTATGCATTATGTACATACAAAGTGATTTTATAGATTCATAAATAATTCAATAAAAAAGGGTTCATAGTCTTTTTTAAATTTATTTTAAATCATAACTTAATTCAGAATCAGTTTTCATACAAAAAATATCATGCTAACTTATTTTTTTGTATTTCATAAGTTTATAATTAATACTAATGCATTTTTATTTACAATTCAGAATGTTTTATAGAATAATCAGGTAGAAAATCATCGTCATCTTCAAACCATTCCTTATATACTTGTATTGGATCTATATTTGCATATTGATGAAACGATATTGGTTCTTTTGTTGCAAGATAAACAGTAGCATAATCTTTTGGTCTTGCCTAAAATTGATAATTTTTGTTAACTAACAGCGGCCCAAAAGTCACCATTCGCCCCAACGCAGAAAAGTATCTATTCAAGCTCAGAGCCAAAAAGATGCCAAGTTCCTATCTTATAACATAGGACTTAGGTACGTTTTTGGCTCCAAATTTAAACCTTTCTGCGCTGAACCGACGAGTTCTCTGGCAAAGCAGAAATACGATTTTTGTATCACAGAGTTGAAAAATCTTGTACAGTCCTGAGACAGGAAAAAAGAAAGCCCCAGATAACTTGTAATAAGTGCCTGAGGTGAAGCTGACTTTTCTGTTTTCCCTGCTTAGGTCAGTTAGATTAACAACGACTATTTAATAAAACTATGTAAAACATTTTTATTTACCTGATGAAATAGAGGAGAATGAGTTACTTTGATTCCTAATTGTGCTAAGCAAACTCCAAAAAGAAACATATCATCAGGAGTTGTTGAACTAGGACAATCACAAACTTTTGGCTTAATCATTTCTAAAACTAATTGAGTTGATAAAACAACACCAGCACCACCAGTTAAATAATCATAACCATGTATTTGAGTAGATCTAAATCCATATCGTTCTCCAATTGCTACCAAATCTGCTGGATTGTAGCAAGTCAACATTCTTAATAATCTGGCCATGCTTGAAAAGATATCTCAATCAAATTATAAAATTCCTTTTACTCATACAACTTTTAATAACATTTTACAAAAGTATTTTTAATGAAATTTTAATTTTATGTACCTGATGATAGTATCATCATCTGTTATGAGTAACCAATCTAATTTTTTTTCTTTCAAAATTGGAGCCACTTGCTTTAAAATAGAAAATGTTTTTGAGCAATGTCCCTCTTCAGTGTCTGGAGTTAAATAACCATTGGGTAAATTTTCATCTGAAATGCAAAAAAAAAGTCATAATTAAAGAATTATAAGGTAAAGAGAAGCTATTAAAATCACCTAATTCATTAGTGAAGTATCCTATGTTTTCCGCATGTCGAGCCCATGTTTTTTTTATGAATTTTAATCTATCTACATGATATTTGGCACAAGTTTTAACTGCCACATATATTTTCTGTGGTAGTCGAATTTTATCCTATGAAATAAAAATAATTATTACATTACTATTTAAATTGAACATTTCCCATTTAATCTTGGATTTATATTAAGTTTAAATTTTGATACAAACTTACACATGCATGAAATGGTTTAGGATAAGTGGCACAATTAGTTGAAGAAACATCACAAAATTCAGGAACATGTGTCAATCGAATACCTTTACTTTCATTCAAAACAAATGTAGCAAACTCATAAGAAGCATCTACATTAAAATCTCTGTTTGGTGGTATGTAATTTTTTGCTTTATTAACTAAGCTAAAAACATTCCATCATTAGCTATTTTATAGTGAACTTTCATTAGAATAAATACCTTTCAAACAAATGTTTAGACATTGCGAATCCTGAACCAAGATTAGGATATTTAAATCTTTTTGAGTGCTCAGCATAATGATGTGTTATAGTAGGTTCTTTATCATATAAAGCATTTCCAATCCACATCTTCTACGAAAAATATTTCAAAATTTGCATTCAACTATTCTTAAAATTAAATTAATTTTTTATATCAATAACAAACCTTGTAAATATCAGCATCATATTTGTTCAATACGTTTAAAAGTTTATTTAAATCAATGGCTGTATTCTCTAAACAAAATATATACCATCGAGCAGTTTTATTTTGTTCATGAAGATATGGTAATAATGGTACTATTGTCCAAGATCCATAGACATCTAATTTATGACTTAAAATAATTTCAGGAGGTTCCTAAAGATTATAAGTAAATATTATTATAAATTTATGATAGCTATAGTTTATTATAGAATTATTTTTGAATACCTTATTCAAAGACTGGGATTGAATATTAGCTTGTAATAATTTGGCTTGAGCTGCATTGTAGCCTTCTTGTTGACTTAAAATTGTTATCAACAAATCTTGAGGAACTAAAGTAATAAACGAGTGACATCAAATTTATGATTATATATTGATAGCTGTGTTTCGTTATTTTAAAAATTTCTTACCAAGGGCAGTAACAAATGAAACAAATAGTAATATACTAAAAATAGTAGGACTTATTTTGTTGAAAAGCATATTTTAAAAAATTTAATAAATATTGAAAATACTATTAGATGAACGTGTTGAAATCGAGTTTACATCAAAATTTATGATATTTCTGAGACATCTGAACGATGATTTGTATTTGTTTACTTTTCTGTGTGCGCCCTTTAAATGGAGCATGAACTTTGTATAATTATTTTTCATCTTTTCTGTTCCTCGTGTTATGTCTGATAACTGCATAAGATAATTTTATCTATTCATTTCATAGGCTATATTTTTTACCTATAATTTGCAAAATATGGCCAAAAAATTAAAGAAAGTTAATTATCTTATCTGCAGATGAATCTAGGGTTTGTGCGAAATTTAAATCAGTTGGATATGTCAACGTAAAAAAAACTGACTACAGTCAGTTATTATGCTGACAGAACATTTTAATCAATTTACGAATCAGCGAATAGTTAAGAAACAAATTGGTTGTTATATAAAATTTTTTAATTATGGTTTCGCTAATAAAAAAAAGCAACGAGTTGACTGCATCTCCGTCGTTTTGTTATTTGCCTCCACTGAGCGTATCTGAACTTTGCAGTCATCTTATCTCACATTGCAGGTGAGATACTTTTGCAAAGCAAAACAAGCAATAGAGTAACAGAACAGATATATATATACCTATAGTTATGTAGCTATTGGGCTGATCGAAGCTGAGTGTTCAGTATCGTCGCCATCACAGCGACGAAATCGACGAGGAATCCAAGTTTCCGTCGGAGAGCTGAAGACCTCCTCAACTTCATCGCACAACCAAGTGCTTGTTGTGCCTATCTATCGAGTTTATAGTCAGGTGGCCGCGAGATCATTTGTCCGCGTGCCGTCCTACATAGAATCATCTTTATATAGTTTGAGTTTTGAACGTAATATCTCTTATAACCTTCCATTTACTTCTGCTATTGTATAAGTCAAGTTCGTCGATAGTGCCCAAATTTCTTCCTGGTCGTCGCTAACGTGTCATCACGAATCAAATAACTTTTTGCCTTCGAAATATTAAAGTGTAATTCGAATTCGATTTTAATTGGACCTTCAGCAAGTTTTGCTACTGCTCTTCACGCATTACTTCGCAGTTTGTAAAAAGTGAAACAATCTCGTGTTAGGACTCCTAGTCCTTCGCGAAAAACTTCGCTCACGTCGATCCCTCTTCGGAATCAATAAATTGTACGCATCACTGGGTACATTTTTTTCTTTTGCACTAGTTCAAACATGGCTTACTGAAAGAAAATGACGAATTTGCAACGATTTAACGTTTCTCCATACGGAGGGGACCTGCTCTCGCTTGTGTCTGCTCGTCGCCTTGATAAAGGCATATATTTAAAGAACGGACGAAAATCAGTCCTCTGTAAAAGAGCAGCTTCTGGCACTGCAATCAGCATCTATTATGGACAAAAAAGCCAAATATCAGCAGCAGCACCAAGCGTGCAAATCTTCTTCAACTGAAGCTAAAAGATCTCAAGGTAACAATGAGTTTCCATTGTGCGATGTTTTTGTACGCCCGCCATGATGAATTTTCTCTTTGTGCTGTTATACATTTCAAACTTTTTATCAATTTTCCAGTTTCTAATATTCGATGCTCTGTACATTTTTAAGCCATTGAGAAAATGTATCAGTAGCATTCTTATTTCTAAGATTATTGACTTCCCTGCATTTATCAAATATTTTTTCTTGGATGTTTAATTACTATTCTATACAATTATTATCAATTGTTGCTTGTAGTTTCAATAAAAAATCAACTCAAATGTATCTTATTTCAGATGGAATTAATTCAAGGCCTTCTAAATCATCGCAACGCTATAAACCAATCAATTCTAGTAATATCCCTAAAAATGATTACAAGAGGTCCAATGCACAGAAAACACAAAATGCTGATAAGAGACCAAAATCTAAAGGACAATGTCATGGCAGTTCAAAGGAGGGTTCCAAGGTATTTTTAATAGATTGATATGATGAATTAATAACATAATTATTTTCAATATATTAAGTGATCATTAAATTTTTAGGTAATGGAATACGATTCAGCTGAGCATGGCTCAGTTATGGTACAGAGAAATAAAAAACCAAATATCAATCAGAATCTGACCGATATTCAACACTTGGTAAATTTTCGTTATGAGTCAAGAATGTTGAATCATTATAGCAACAACAATCGATCATCTAACCAGAGTCATCATCATAAATACAACAAAGAAGCTTTTCTACTTTCTAAGTAAGTTTATAATTTATTCATTTATATTTGATATTAAGTTAAACCAATAATAATCATTTCAGCTGCCAGTTCATTGTACCTGATGATAGAGATTATTCAGTATTCTTAAATGACTCCAATAAATTGGTTGATTGGGCATTAATACAACAGATTGTAAGAAATAAGATAAATTTTTTAATTGTAAATATATTTTGTTCATGTATGAAATTTTAATTATAATAATCTACTTTACAGCGGTTGAGAAGTTCAGAATATCCAATATGCCCTATTTGCATGTATCCTCCTGTAGCTGCAAAAATAACTAAATGTTGTCATGTTTATTGTTGGCATTGTATACTTCAATATTTATCAGTAAAAAAAGAAGAAGGAAAACAAGCTCACTGTCCCATTTGTTACAACTCTGTTATTCATAAGCATGATTTGAAAAGGTAAGTTGATTGACAATATATTTTTAATGACTTTATTCAATAACTGAAATAATTTTTTTAGCGTTTCTGTTATTACTGATCAAGTATTGAATGTTGGAGATACTGTTATACTACAGTTGATGCGTAGAGAAAAAAAAACAAATGTTGCAGTTGCAGTAGATGATATCATGTCCACTCCAACTACCAAATTTTTATCTATAGCTGAGAGTAAGAAACAAGCAGTTTCTAAATTGCTTTTGGCTGAAAAAAACGATGTATGACAATTTATAAGAATCACTTTTTAGTTTTTGATAAATAAGTTTTGTAATGAATTCCTATTGCATTTACAGATTCTGAACATATTAGAATCTGAACGAAATGAACTGAAAGCGCTTTTGGGAGAAGCAGACCATCAACCTACTACTGAAGATTTTATTCAAATGGCTTTGAAAGAATTGGAGTACAAAGAAGCTATATTATTTGAAGTATATAATTAAAAAACTTTTTTATCACTGCAGAAGCCACTTTTCCGTTAATCACAAGTTCATTTTTAGGATTTGGATAAATTTCAGGACATTACAATTGGAGGTAAAGTACAAGGTAACTGTGGAAATTTTACTGATGATCAAGGAAATAAGCCAATTATAGATGAAAAAAAATCCGTAAAAGATGAGTCATTAAATTTTCTCAACGATTCTACAATTCCTGATAAACATTTACAGAATAACGTGAATGCAAATGTCGAGAAATGTTATTATTTTTACCAAGGTATAAAAAAATTTTAACTAAATATAATAAACACAATCAAATTCAAGTTCATATAAAATCTTGATAAATAACGTTATAGCAAACGATGGACAAAATATTTACCTTCATCCCATGAACATTGACATGCTAATTCAAGAGTATGGAAGCTTGGAAAATAGTCCTAAAATGATTGAAGGAACAGTATTGGAAAAGAAATACGAGTGCTACACCGAAGAATCACGTCATAGAATAAGATATTTGGAACATTTACCTTTATGCAGTGTATATGAAATTGTTGAAATAGATATGCAATCACTCATTTCAGCAAATGTGTGGAAAAAATTTGAAAGTAAAAAAATATTTTTATTTAATGACTTCTATATTTTACAATATTGACACTTTTTAAAATAAATTTCAGCGCAAATTAGAGAGAAACAATACAAACGTAAAAAGCGTGAACACGCCGAGCGACGTCGTGAAAAAAAAATAGCTGAAGTTGAAAACAAACGAATGGGAAAATACCCTACACCAGACATTCATTTAGAATCACGAACAGATTTTCCAGAATTTTCCCCAGAAGAGTTAGTAATATAATTCATTAAATTTCATTTTTAATACCACTTAATTACCTTAATTTATTGATTAAAAATGCATTTTTTAGATTTGACTCACTTCAGCAGATGGATTATAATACCTCAATCAATGCATCTATTCCATCAATGAATTCTTTCAGTAGCTCATCTTCAAGTGTTAACGAAGGCAATGCAAATAGTGTATGGATGGCAAAAGACAGTGGTCCATCATATGCTCAAATTGGAGCTTCTGCTCGGCCTACGGCTGGTTCTTATCGCAGAGTTTCTTCTAATTTTACACCTCCAACAGATGAAGATGTTGATCCAGAGATGGAAGAGTATATGGCACCCATACGAGGATCACATACATTCAATTTAGGAGATGCAGTTAACCTAGCTGCACTTAAAAATGGCAACCAGAAAAAAAAGAAAAAAGGAAAAACAACTTACACGCCACTGGAGCTTTTTCATTGAAATTACTTGAAAATGATTTCTAGTTCGTTTTAATTTTATTCTCTACAAATTATACAATTGACTCCTGTTTTTGATGATTCCTTTAGATTTTACGCAGAAGTTGAGATGATATTTATGTGCGCTGATATTAAGTAATATCCAAATAACGTTCATGTACGATAAATAAATAAAAATTGTAGAACTTAATTTTGTTTGTGACAAAATTTAAATTATAAATAATAAATATAAATAAAAATTATGGACGTAAATGTCATCTTGTGGTTGCTGTTTATTTCCGTATTAAATAAACCAAGTAATGTTACTCCTCTTGAGTTTCAAGCCAATAATGAATGTATCCAGTCCAAGTTCAGATCTTTAACTTACACTAATTAGTGTACTTTTTTGTTATATATATAATCTAATTTGTGATACTATCAAGTACAAAATTAATCATTGGAATAAGGGTTTTTATGAGTAATTGTACAATTCAAAGTTATTTTGTTGACATGTGAATTTTATTTTCAATGAAAAAAAAAGTTGCAGATTGATATTAAAAGTTTAATGAATGTTTCATCCCCGGAATTGTCATATAACCAATGGAGCGAATGATTTAATCGACTTCCTCGATGGTGGGTCCACCGGCGCCTCCAGCACCAGCTGCACCAGCTCCAGGAGCGCCACCAGCGCCTGGGAAACCACCTGGCATACCACCGGGCATACCACCTGGCATTCCACCGGCACCTTGGTACATCTTAGTAACAATTGGATTGCAAATGCCTTCAAGTTCTTTTTGTTTGTGTTCATATTCTTCTTTGTCGGCAAGTTGGTTAGCGTCAAGCCATTTGATGATCTCATTGCATTTGTCCAAGACGGTTTGTTTCTCGCTAGCACTGATCTTATCTTTGATTTTGTCATCTTCAACAGCACTCTTCATGTTGAAGCAGTAAGATTCAAGTCCGTTCTTGGCAGAAATAGTTTCCTTCTGTTTCTCATCTTCACTCCTGTATTTCTCAGCTTCGTTGACCATGCGTTCGATGTCCTCTTTGCTCAAACGGCCCTTGTCATTGGTGATGGTGATCTTGTTTTCCTTGCCAGTCGACTTGTCAACAGCAGAGACATTTAAGATACCGTTGGCATCAATATCGAAGGTAACTTCGATTTGAGGAACACCTCGTGGTGCAGGTGGGATGCCACTGAGTTCAAACTTTCCAAGAAGGTTGTTATCCTTGGTCATGGCACGTTCTCCTTCATAGACTTGAATAAGTACACCGGGCTGGTTGTCAGCATAAGTGGTGAAGGTCTGAGTTTGCTTGGTGGGGATAGTGGTATTTCTCTTGATCAGAGCAGTCATGACTCCACCAGCGGTTTCAATACCAAGAGATAGAGGAGTGACATCGAGGAGAAGTAAGTCCTGAACTTCTTCAGACTTGTCACCAGCAAGGATAGCAGCCTGCACAGCAGCGCCATAGGCAACAGCCTCATCAGGATTGATCGATTTGTTGAGTTCCTTGCCATTGAAGAAGTCTTGAAGAAGCTTCTGGATTTTGGGGATACGGGTAGATCCACCAACAAGGACGATGTCATGAATCTGAGCCTTATCCATCTTGGCGTCGCGCAGAGACTTCTCAACGGGCTCAAGAGTGCCACGGAACAAGTCAGCACAGAGCTCTTCAAAACGAGCTCTGGTGATCGAGGTGTAGAAATCAATACCCTCATAGAGAGAATCGATCTCAATGCTGGCTTGAGTAGATGAAGAAAGAGTACGCTTCGCTCTTTCACAGCTAGTGCGCAAACGACGGAGGGCACGCTTATTGGCGGTCAGATCTTTCTTGTACTTGCGTTTGAACTCCTGCACAAAGTGGTTGACCATGCGGTTGTCGAAGTCTTCACCACCCAAGTGAGTATCACCAGCGGTAGACTTGACCTCAAAGATACCATCTTCGATGGTCAGAATGGAAACATCAAAGGTGCCACCACCAAGATCGAAAATGAGCACGTTGCGCTCACCAGTGGCTTTCTTGTCGAGACCATAGGCAATAGCAGCAGCAGTAGGTTCATTGATGATACGCAGAACGTTCATGCCTGAGATGGTACCAGCGTCCTTGGTTGCCTGACGCTGCGAGTCGTTGAAATAAGCGGGAACGGTGATCACGGCGCTGGTGACGGTCTTACCAAGGTAAGCCTCAGCAGTTTCCTTCATCTTGACCAGGACCATCGAACTCACTTCTTCGGGGTAGAAGGTCTTCGTTTCTCCTTTATACTGAACTTGAATCTTAGGTTTGCCACCATCACTGACAACATTGAAGGGCCAATGTTTCATGTCAGCTTGAACAGTAGCATCGTCAAAACGACGACCAATGAGACGCTTGGCATCTGTGAAAATAGAAATAATGTATCAAATAATTATTATAATTTATGATATAATAGTTTATTAAGTTAAATTGCCAACAAAAAATAGGAAATTTTAAACTTTTAACACAAGAACAAGGATATAAATAATTATATAGGATATAAATCTTTGATACATGGAAGATGATACACATGAGTCAGACTTGAGCTCATATGAATTCCGAATGACTCATGGAAATCCAATTTTGCTTCTAGTTGTTCATTGAATAATAATGGACTCGAATAATTACAGTTATACAGGTAAAATTAATTCAACTTACCAAAAATAGTATTGTTTGGGTTCATGGCAACCTGGTTTTTAGCAGCATCGCCGATGAGACGCTCAGTGTCGGTAAAAGCAACATAACTGGGCGTAGTGCGGTTACCCTGGTCGTTAGCGATAATTTCGACCTTTCCGTGTTGAAACACACCGACGCACGAGTAGGTGGTTCCAAGATCAATACCAACTGCGGGTGCTTTGGCCATCTTGTCTAGTTTAACAGTATTAGTCTGTAAAAGAAAGAAAAATTTGGTGCTGTAGAGATTCTATTTTAGTTTCCAAGTCTTCATTCACTTTAGTCTGATAGGCGGCCTAGATTTTGCTGTATTTTTTGGACTTGCGATACTCGAGCATGATAATCACTCGAGATGCAGTCATTAATAAAACGTGAAAAATTAGTTTGATGGATTGGCACTTTCAGATTAGTCGGATCAATATTCAAGGCGTTGCCACCATTCAATATTCAGTTTCACAATAAAAAAAAAAAAAAAATCGACGAAGCTCAACTAGTATGCAAGTAATCTAAAACTCAAGAATCACCAGAAAGAATAAAATAACTTAAACGCATCGATAAAAAAAATGTGGAAACGTCTCGAACAATCGCTGATATACCGTAGCAACGACTAGGTGCGCAGAGATAAAAAATGTCGGCGACCGCAATTTTACATTGATTCGTGGCACTAACACAAACTCGAATAATAACCGTAATAATTGCACGAAAAAACCGTCCCTTCACGTATTAGATCAAATTGCGAAACCAAATAAAATGATGTAGTTGAATTTACATACCTTGTAACAAAGTAGAAAAAGGAACTTCGGGTATGAAGTAGAATCGAAGAGTTTCACTCTTGTGTCTTGTTAACGAGTCGCAACGAAAGTGGCGCGAGCGGAGCGGATCGTGGCTTTTATAGGGCGAGGCGGAGAGCGCGGTGACGGCGACGCTTCTAGAATGTTCTAGCCAATGAAATCGCACCTTTAGCTGTCAGAGGCCAACTCACTCTAGCGGCAAAGACCACACGAGTCAATTTCAACCGTCTTTACAGCAGCTTGTAGTATGCAATTTAGTCTTTCACAGCTCGTACAAATTTTTTATTGATTTGGCGAAACAAAAAATCCTCTGAAGAAAAGATGACCACCGTAAACAACAATATTTGTACGTACGTCAGTGGGAAATTTTTTGGCTGCTAAAAATTATGAGCTCGTATGACTAATTACCGGAAGCTCGTAGAAGCGCGAGAATAATCTAGAATAGAAGCAACGGCTGGAAAAAAATTCCCGCTCTATTCGACTAGATGTGCGTGGCCATGTCATATAATTTTCTCTTTTCTTCAAAATTCTTAGACTCGTATGTAGTATGTATAGTTATAGAAACAAAAAACGCGGGACTACACGTGTACACCACGCAACGCTTTCATACGACGGTTGACTGCACTGCAGAGCATGCGAATATTCCAGTTCACTACTATGTAGTAAAAAAATATATCTCCTGCACGTGAAACAACACGTGGACCATTTTTTTCATTTTCATACAAATTTTCAAATGCGCCCTGTGCCGTTTGATTATATAAAATATTTTTCAAAAGCGGCCATCATTCGTATGATCTGATTACATTTAACTCTGACGAAATCAATAAACAGACGAATTTCGTAGGCACAGCACGTGTATTTATAAAATTTCATGGGAACGTATTTTCTTAAAATTTCATTCAACTTTAATCTTTTTTTTTAAATTGTAAAATTCATTTTCAATATAATGTTTATGAAATTTAACTTCATGCTTATTGTATATTTAGCATTATTTTTATTTTCATTCGAGTTGTGCCACTATAGAATACATATTTATTTTTGAAAACAAAATATATTCGATTAGAAATAGTTAATTTTTCATCGTTAACATTACGTGTATAAGAAGGCATATAAGATGTAAGACGAATTTGGGATTGAAATTTACAAAAAAAAAATAAATTTACTTTCATTAAATATTATTTGCTAGAAAAAGTTTAAATCAATGATTTATTCGAACTTATTCGAATTGAAAAATTAGGGTGGCTTTGTACATTTTCCTTTAATTTATCATTAGTCAAATTTTCAATTTCTGATTAAAACCGTTATTTTTAGAAGTGCCGTAAGAAAGACTGTAGACTAAGTTTTACACATTATTACTTTAGAAAATACATTAATACTGAGCAAAGTAAATTATACTCATGAATATTGCCGCTCATATGACACAAGATGATCATAATTGGTTATAATTTATTTCATACCAATAACGTTTTAAGTAAATTGAAATATGTCTAGTAAAAGTAATTTTGAGAATAAACTTATAATTCGATTGCTATATTATAGGTTAGAGAAGCTAGATTAGCTGCAAACAGAATGGAGCACATGTGAGAAGTTGGCACTCATTTACTGGTTATTTGTACTCATAAATAAAAGTAAGAGAATAGTCCACTAAATCTTACATGAACTTTTGTTTTCATAAAATTAGATGAATTTTTCTACTGGGTAAGGTGCAAATTTCAAGTGAGGGTGTTTTTTGCCTACATTCTTGTAAACAAAGCAAAATATAGGGACAAAACTACATCAATCGTTTCCTCGTAAAATTTAACATTGAAATGCACTAACATTTTCAAGTGTCAAAGAAAAATTTTCGACATAATTGAAAAACAGGAAAAATGTTATTCGGCGGCGGCAGCGGCGAGAGGGGTGAACAGCGTGGAGTTCGGCAACCGCACATTGCTATATAGAGGGGGAAACAGTATACTGCATGACGCGTGTCTCACGCCGAGGCTCGTATCGGAACATGACTCTTGATTTGACTTTGTTAATAATTCGTATTCAAACTTCAAACGTCTAAGTATTTAATATAATAATCCAATGCCAATCCCACGTAGATTTATCTGAGTCTGTAGAACGTTTGAGATTATAAATCCGAAGCATACGTGTAAGCTGCATTTGTACCATCTATTCCTCAAGATTCGAAAGAATTCAAATTCTAAAGAAACCGACAATTTTTAATGAATTAAAAAATCTTTGAAATTTGAGCAGCCAACGTAATCGTCACGCTATATGATGATGTTTTTTTCAGATGGCGTGCCGTTGTTATCTATAAAGAAAAAATGACAAGCACGTCTTTCGCTATCATTTTCGAATTTCACATAACGCTCTGACTCAGCCGTCTAACTACGCGAAAAGAGGATCTTTAAAATGTCGCTTTTAATGCGAACACATTGCCTGCACCTACTGCCGTTTGTTTTATACTGGAGCATCGTTGCATCCTTTGTGCGCGCCAATATCCTGTACTCAGTCGATTAAAGATATTTCATTAGTCATCTTGATTTAAAGAAAATCAAGTCATTGACATTTATATTACTGTAAAGGTTGACTCTTTTAAATTTGCATTAAAATAAAAACAATTCATTGCAATATATGAAATTACATATGATGTCATTGCATGACGATATGTCATAGTTTTAATTGAAACAACTATTAAAGGGAAACAGTCGGCACTAAATTTTTCTGCGTTAACATGTAACATTTTTGATGCCCAATACCTATGCACTTACAAATTACAATGCCTCGTACAATATGAGTGTACAATGTACATACAATAATATGTAGCTGCAATACATTGCGAATATCACGAGTCTTGTGCTAAGCTGTATGCATACAGCCAACAGGCAACATGCCGTTATGATTTGCAAGCTGCCGCAGCAGGGTAGCAACAGTCTGCCTGCAATGTCTTTAACTCTGCTAACCCTACAAGTCGCATCGTACAAGACCATCTGAAACTTATGGTATAGCAACATAGCACGTGAAGTCTCATTCGATCAAAGGTACAATTCGTCGGTGCAGACCTAGCCACGTTCGCGTGAAGTAACTTAATGTTTCGGTACGTTCTATTCATCCAACTGCAAAAGCCGAGCTACTTGTTGATTAGTCACTGGCGACGATGCCAATGATCTTTAGCTTGCTGCGAATTGCGGATCATGTCCCTCGCCTTGTATACAGATGCGTATTTGCATCTGTATGATTAACATGTGAGTTTAACTAATGATAAACAGTGGCATTAATACAACTAGTGTAATTTCTTCATATTTATAACTCATTCGTAAGCGCTGTGAATTATTCGAATAATAGCACTTTTCTTTGCAGGTTGAATGAATAAACACATTTTTATCAGCCTATTTACAAGGCCGGATACATTATTAGACCAATACTGGATATGAAACTGAATTTCTTAAATAATTGGAATTGATTCTGTAATTAAAGCATGTTTCATCAAGAGCAATGGAAACGCAGCTTGATCGCTACGTTCATCATTTTAGCTTTGACATATGTACAACAAGTTCACTCGGTAGAAGCGATCTATGCCATAAATGCTGGTGGAGATGCACACATTGACATTCATGGCATACGCTATGCAAGAGATCCACTGATGGGAAAAGTGGGCACTGCTTCTGACTATGGCAAACAATTGATCATAGGTCGAGTTGATCCTGCTGATCAAATACTTTATCAGACTGAGAGGTATCATCATAGCACATTTGGCTATGACATACCTGTAAGCGAAGATGGAGACTATGTATTGATTCTTAAGTTTTCAGAAGTTTATTTTAACTCGCCGAACATGAAGGTAATTAGATGGTTAAAACTTTCATTCTGATTACACCTGGTTTATTTACTTTTTATTTTGTAGGTATTTGATATTGTTCTTAATGGAGATCACACTGTTGTAACTGAACTAGATATATTTGAAAGAGTTGGTCGAGGTATTGCACACGATGTGTATGTACCAATTAAAGTGCAAAATGGAAAACTAATTTATAATGAAGAAGAATCAGATATTCTAGGTGGTAAAATAAGAGTTGAATTCATCAAGGTATTTTGAGAAAACAAAAATTTGAATTCGATATATCAAAAAGTTAAAAATCAAAATTTTATAGGGCTATCGAGATAATCCTAAAATCAATGCTATTGCTGTGATCAAAGGAACTCTTGACGGTAAATTTTTAGCATTTAATGAATAAATATTTTTGATCAAACAAATTAATAATTTACCATTTATTTATGTGTCAAAATATTTCTAGATGTTCCACTTCTGGAGCCAATGCCTCAAGAACCCGAAGAAGACCAAGGAACTCAAGAAGAAGAAGAGGAACCAGTAATCCGTACAAGACACACAAGTGGACCTCGCACACCAGATCCATATGAATCTGTAGATTCATCATTTCTATTGCAATCATTACCTATATGTGCTGCAATCGGAGCTTTTATACCTTTATTATTTTGCTTATGCAAGTTATAAAATGTTTCAAGTGAAACATTTTTGTTGAGTTGTACTTAAATACAAGTACATGCACAAACTCAAATTAATCTGTTTCACTTTATTTAAGTTGAGTTTGCAGATGTATTATTCTTGAATTTGTCTGATTTTGATAGTCTATGTAGTAACAAGTTATATATATTTTACTAAATTGACGCCATGTATGTGTATTCCTATGTAATATATGTAACAGTTGTTTCATGTGCAATTTCTGTTTAATTATAAGCTTATATAAAGACTTACTGGCCTTTCTCTGTAAATTTTTATGTAACTAGATGATCTAAAGACTAGATATTAAGAAGTGTGTGTTTTAGTGTAAATTTAATAAATTTTACTTATTTTGTTAAACACCTGTTGAAATCAGGTTTTAAATAACAGAAAATAAAACTATTATACTAAGAAAGAATGTTTGCTTTGATTTAAATTGAAAATATTATATTCATCAAGTCACATCAGTCTTTGAATATCAGTGATTGATGTTGCGCAATAGAAAATTCTTACGAAAAATACCTAAATTGATATAATTTTCTTAAAACAAGAATTAGTGGAAACAAATTCATCTTCAAATAAATTTTGGATACGAAAACGGGTTCAAGGTAGAGTAAAATGTCAACAATTTGTGATAAAAGTTAAATATTTATTCTATTACATTTTTTTGTCAATAATTAAAATAAAACTAACAAATGAAGAAAATCTCTTATAATTATACTAAAACCGAGCACGTAGATTTACAAAAAATGAGGTTCGAAAAATGTCTACAATTAGAAAAGATTCACTTTTTAAAAATTTGCTCTTTGTGTTATTGAATTTATAATAATAGTTATCACATTAAATCAAAAGATGCTGTACATGAAATAATAGTAGTATACGTATTACAATGGTGACGATTTTGTTGATTTCATGTGTCAACTTTAGATAGGAACAAACAGAATAAATAGGTTAATAATATCGTATATGATTTAATGTTACATGAATTATAATGCACATACATGAAAAAATTATTAAAAATATAAAAAGAAAAAAACTTCCAGGTTGTTTCATTTGTGTACAAACAAAATTACCAGCGTATGGTTGCATATTCGTCACCATCAATTTTCTCCAAATTACATATTTTCTTTACGCTTCTTTGCATAAAAAGGAAGTTTCTATTAAAGGTTTATCTGTTATTGAACTCAGGTAAATTCGTGCAAGTTAACCATTATTTTTATCTTTTCGCTTTAATTATCATAATCATCATCATCAATCATATATTTTCCTTCATCTACTTCCTCTTTTTCAATTTTGAGGCCTTTAACAAGCACCACATAAAATTACGCACACTCAGAGCTTGCATAAAATACAATAATACCGTAACTTCGAACGCGTTTGATTATTTACAAAACAAAAGTTTAAGCCTTTTATCCACTGCTGCGTTTTCTTTTTAAAAGTCCGTAGGAGATTTTCACAGCACACCGAAGCAATCAAGCAGTAAAATGTAAAATGGCTATATAATAATAATGATCTTTGAATATAGATTGATATATTTCACCATACTTTTCTTAAAAATCATAAATATTAAGTTTTTTTTTTGTATTTTTTCCTCTCTTATCTTTTATAACAATCAAATTAGTACTATTATAAAAAAAATTTAATTCAACATTTAACTAACAACTACTGTGAATGCGTATCTGTCTTTCTGAATCCTTAAAATTAATTTAAAAAATTGAAGACAGGGTTTAGAACTATTGGTCATAACGATCAATAGTACATTATATAAAAAACATATGCTATGAAAGAATACCTAAGCCTGTGGGGAACGCCAAATTTTCAAATATATTTTTTGAAATTTATATTGAATATTTTTCTAAATAATTAAATGGGCAATACAGTTTTGCTCTTCTCTATATGCATCCATAAAGCTTTCCAGAAAAATATTCGACCGAAATCTTAGAAAACGTTTTTGAAATTTTTTAATTGTTCTATGGCTAGTATCTCCGCAAACAGAGGAAAAACATTATTATCTCTGCAAATCTCGTTAAATCAATTAAATAAAAATGAACAAAGTGGAAAAAGAAGCGCGATCGAGACAGAGTTGTATGAATATAGAATTATGCTACCCTGTCGGTCGAACGCAATTAGACTTAATTTCATTACTCTGCGGTAATAAGCTGATTGTCAGTAATCGGCTCAATTGGAGATACATCTTTTTTCGGTATGTCTTCTTCGATATTCGTTGTCGTTGTATTCGTTGTTACATTAGTTTCCGTTTTCGGTACGCTTACGCCGTTTTGTACGATTTTTTGCTGAGTGGTTGCTGTAGTGATTGTAGTTGTTAAGTTATTGCCACCTTTCGTCGCAGTCGTAGTTGCCCTTGAGTTGATCTTAGATTGTACATTATTCAACTTGATGGGACCAGGCTTTGATACTTGCACTGGTGCTTTTTTAGATGGAGATACACTTGTAAGCAGTGGTTTGCTTGGAGCTAAAGACTGTCGCTTAACTGTTGTACTAGTCGATGTGGTCGAAGGTACTCGTGGCCTAGTATTAGTAGTAGCCGAAACAGTATTGCGTGCCGACGAAATTTGTTTGTTTACAGTCTCTTTGCTATGCTTGTCGATCATCGGCGATTTGCTTCCAGAAGCCGTTTTAAGTTTTGTTGCGCCAGATACAGGAGCAGTTTTAGGTCTGGCAGTCGCGTTGTTAAGCGAGTTGGAAACGTTGCCACTCAATCTCGACTTTGAGGCAGTAGCACTGGCGCTTGTTGCTGAGGTTGGTCGGGGCTTCAAGGTTCCAGAATTAGCACTGGCACCTCCACTGGTTCTTGATGTAGTTGTAGTACTCGTTTTGACTAGACCTACTTTGGTAGCTGTGGTATTTGTAGCTGATTTTGCGGTTACTTTTGAAGCTGCAATGGGTTTTGAAGGTGCTTTGATGTCACCATTTGTCATTGGTTTTTTATCAGCTGATGCAGTAGAGCCAACTTTTGAAGTAACAGCACTTAATGGTTTAGGTCTTGAAGTTGCAGCGTTAGCTACAGTTGTACGAGGGGTTGTTTTGGCGGCAGCACTCGCAGTTCTCGATGTAGTCGTAGCAGTTTTAGATAGCGAGGTACTTTTTGAGGCAGCAGCAGGGGGTTTTGTTGTTCCAGTAGTAGCTGTTTTAGGTCGCGTAGCTGTTGTAGCTGGTTTTTTAGTAGATGTACTTGTTGATGTTTTCGCAGTGAGGCTGGTTTTAGCTGGTGAGGATCCAGGAGTTGTCGATTTAACCCCTGGTTTAAAACTGGTGGTGGATTTAGGGGCAACTCTGGAAGTGGTAGGCTTAGCTGTTAATTTAGTCGCAACCGCAGCAGCAGAAGCAGTGCCTGCTGTTACCACAGCAGCTGCGGCAGCAATCGATGATGCTGTTCCAGCTGTTGGTGCTTCATTTGTAATCAATGGTTCCCCATCAGATTTAGCTTCTGAAGATGGCGTAGAAATTTCTTCCACGTCTTTGGGTTCTTCAACAAGATTTTCCTTTAAAGTAGGAGCTTCTTGGTATGTTTCTTGTTCGATGTTCGTTTCAAGATACGCACAACTTGATTCTTTCTTTTCTTCCACAAAATCAATACCAATATTTTCCTTTACATGATCAATAACTTGATCTTTTATGTCAACGACCACATTTTTATTATCTATTGCGATCAATGTATCTGTAGATTGTTTTTCATTTACAACGACGTCCGTTTCTTCAGATTGAGGGTCATTAGGAAAACTGGAATCTTGAATATTCGATTTTGACATGAGATCTTCTTCATGGAATTTGCTTGACATAATTTGTGGTTCCTTAACAGGTGATACAAGAATCGGTTCGTCGATTTTTTGATCGACAGCAGCACTCACACCCAAATTAAGGTTTAAAGGGTTAAGCATCACATCTTGGTGAGCTTCTTTCATGAATTGAGTTTCTTCATCGAAAGATATTTGTTTAATTTGCTCAGGGTGCGAAGGATCTTCAACTACTTTCTCCGGTAATTGTTCATCCTTGTAATTATTGTCGAATTTTTCTTGACTGCCCTCATCGAGTTTAACGGACTCTAGATTCTGAGCAAGATTATTCATATTACTTTCATTGTTTGCAGAAAAATCATAAGAAAACGGATTATTGTCGGTATAGTGCGATGTCTCAGTTTTTTTCGAATCGTAATTTTCGAAATCTCCACGAGAAGTAGAAAACATATCCGAAGTTTGAGACTTTCTCTGCTCAACTACGGCTGTGAATAATTCAACGCTTTGTTCTTGATGTGGTTCAAGATTTTCGAGATCCAAATCGACAGATTGTTCAAGAATCTCGTTATCTTTTTCCTCCGTAGTTATTTTTTCCTCGGTCTCTTGAACAGTTGTAAGTCCGTTGTGTACCTCAATCATAAGATCGTCATCGGAAAGATCGTGCACCTTATTCAAGTCAGGACTTTGATCGAATGCATTTTTGAAATCACTAGGAGTCATCGAAGTTGACATAACATCGTCACGATCGGTAAACGATAAATTTGATACATCAACATTAGACACTCCAGTTTTGCAAAACTCACTGACTGCGGACAAATTAGTAGTGGACTCATCACCGAATTCAGCCTTAGTTGAGGACACCTCGTAATCGTCCATAAGATTGGTAAAGAGATTTTTCCTTTTGTTGTCATTATTCTCACTGTTATCTTCGCTGAATCCGTCGAATGGATTTTTCATTGGTGATGACAAGGCGTCACCGTTGGAAATGTCACTGGTTACACTGTCATTGACATCCGAAGGTCTAGAACAAACTTCCATGTGAAATTCCTCTTCGCTTGGAATTTTCGTATTCTTCAAAGCTCGCTGGGACTGTTTCAAGGGTGAACCGGCGATAAGATCGCTGTTCATTTGATTGATCAATTGCGGCGTTAGCGGCGAGATCGGCGAGGTACCAGTGTGAGGTACAAATTCAGCAGCATCTGGATTCAAATGAGATTCCATATCGTCTTCGCTGTCTTTGTCGCTGGCGATATCGTTTTCTTTATTTTCTTCCTTGTAATTGATCTTGTACGTCGGCTCGTTTGTTTCTTGTAATCCTTGAATTAGATCTTCTTCAAAGACCGATGGAACTTGATTAGTATCAAGATTAGAGTTGTTTATTGCTGCTTCTGCTTCAATCTATAAAATATAAATAAAATTTTAATTGATTTTTTATTCAGGAAAATTAAAGTAGTGTAAAATCTATGTTTAGTGCATGCATGAAAAAAGTGCATTGTTCATTTATGATTGGTACGACGTTTAACATTCAGAATAAAACACTTTTCAAAGTTCAGTAAGTATTTTTTTTTCAAATTTGAAACGGGATTGCAATGCAGGAATTATGTTGTCTTAGTGCACTCTTAATACTGAAAGGATGTGCGTGTTGATAAATTTCCAAGAGAGTTTTGATAAACTTTTTGATGTATTGATTCATTAATCTATGAGCAAGCTCAAAGATGTTTTCAAACTTACGCAAACGTTTGATACAACTTACTCGCCTTTATGTAATAAGCTCGAACTATATTATGCATGAATATTGAAAATTCTTTCAGTACATGATAATGTTTTGTATTAATATTTAGTTAAACAATATTGGCTCCGCGACGTTCGATCAAAAGGCACTACAGATGTCTTTGAGACTCGCAACGGCTTCGCCCGCAATTTCGTTAGGCGTCACCTTGAAATAGCAGCGTTAGGCTTTCATCAGAAAGTTCTTGATCTTGTGAAGTATTTTTAGATTACATATGCATGTCGAAAAGAACAAAGAATCGAAGCCAACATTGTTCAACGAAATGCCGAATTGGAAGCTCGCATCGGATAAAAGTGCAATACTTACGTTGTTTTCGTTGAGCGCTTGCTCTGGCAGCAGCTGATCCGGGTACAGGTAAGCTTCTTTTTCCGACGCCTGCGTCGTCTCCCCTTGGAGCAAGTTCGGCTGGACGCGTGACTCCTCCAGCTTTTCAAAGTTCGATAGCTCTTCCGCGAGAGCTTCTGGTTTGGGCTCGTTTATCGGTACCTCTTGGCCGAGAATTTTATTCTCTTCGTAATCGTATTGTCTTTCGTAGGTTGCAGCGTCGTCGGCTACGTTACTTTCAGCAACGAAATCGACTTCTCGACAAACCTCCTCCGGTTCTTTTTCTACTTGAGGATCGGCAGCGGGTTCGCCGTGGAGCTCGTTACTCGCTTGGTTCAGGCTCGGCTGATGCAACGGACTCTGATCACTGCTGCTGCAGCTGTTATCCTCGTCCTCTTGAAGTTTCGGGCTGCAGGACTCTTTCTCCTCGCGATCACAGTCGGGCTTTTCCACGAGACTCGGGTCTTTGGCAATGCGTTGGTCCTCGTTGGATGATTTGTCGCCGCCTTCGTTTGGTCTGTAGTAGTTCCACTCGTCGTCGCTGTCCTCGCTTTCTCCTACATTATCAGCATCACTTTGTTTTTCACCTGGAATAAAAATCAATAATTTAAATGCATTGCCTCTTCGTAATTATTTTATTTTATAAAACTTATATAATCTTTGTATTCATTATAGGATCGTTCAGAGTTAGATTGAATTAGCACATGCTCGCTTGTCGGCAAGTAGTTGTAGCGAACTATGGATAAGAAAATGAGAAAAACATTAATCATCATTTCTCATTTTCTCCACCCTTAACAAAACCAAACTATTTCTACACTGCCTCTTATTATCTGCCCCTTTGTCTACTGCCGGTGCAAAAAAGCGTTTTTTCCGACAGCTTTTATACAGGCTTCTCGTGGATCTGAACCCATACGTGCCCGCTGAGAATCGATGCTCAACCTAATTTTACGTGGAATATCTTTGGACGGATTTTTATCGAGAAGCATCGCCGAGTAGAAAATAAGAATAAGCCAATACCGTCTCAGAAACAGGCAAGTATAGAAGAAGAAACGTCAAATGAACAAGTTTTCAGCATACCCGAGAGCGAGAAATATAGCTTTTTCTATTCTTACCGAAACAGAAAGAAAGAAAGAAAGAAAGAAAGAAAAAAGCATCCGTAAAAAGGCAGCCCAGGCGCAGACAAGAGTTGAACGTTCTATCGATCCGTCTCGTATGCTATCGATCCTCGGTATTCGAACAGCTTTGCGTTAAGGAGCGCAGATGCAGTACAACGCTGCCACGCGATGAACGAGTTAAGTGCGAGTAAGAAAATTACATCACGCGCGCTGAATCATGAAATAACGAGAAAAGCTCAAGTGTACGAAAAAAGGTGTCGTCACTCGTCACTCATCTTCGCGTCTTACCGTTTTATGGCCGAGATTATGAAAAAGGAATGCTCGAATAGAGACGAGAGAAACGAGGGATGCGTAACGTTGTGCGATGTGAAAAAAGAGAGCTTAGCCGCCGACGATGTTGCTCGATCGTCATGAGCGGCAGGACTAACGGCGATAAGGGATGGATGTTATCGATTCGTTATGCGTTCCCGTCGTGCCTTGGCAAGCGTCAGCAGCGGTGGCGGGCGCAGCAGACGCGCAGCCTGCGAGAGAAAGAGCGAGAGAGCCGACGAGCGCGTGCACTATAACTATATGTATGGACCGGCGCATGCGGCCGCACCTGTTATTCGCCGGCAGTAGGACGCCTATGTGGATGTATAAACTTCTCGCGAGTGCCGCTCAGCTCCAGCGCAAGTACACGATGATAAGAGCAAGCATATACCTGTATAGTACGTACAGTGTGCGTAACTGCTTCTTCTGCCAGCGCCTTTTCAACTATTTTTATTTTTATTTTCCATTAATATGTGTACGGCCTGCGTGCAACGGATAACAGCATTAATACCGCCACGCATTTCATCTCACTCCTTTTCGACCGATCCTAATATAAATAAATGCTCCAATCAATATATTCGATCGTGATGTCTCGCAGTGTAGCACATTTTTACACGTCAATGTGTACGTTCAATCGATTTTGCGCACCAAACGCGTAGGTTCGGCTCGAGCTTGGGCGCGACCGCTGCCGCAGTACACAGTAGTGAGTTTGCGAGGGTAGCGGTAAAATTGTGATACGTGCGTCGACATTGCTGAACCGTGCGAATGCTACCACATGTTTCGATACTGCCTTTCTCAGCTCTCGCTCTTCTGGGCAGAGCTTTTACGCGTATTGCTCAAGAAGCAGAGTAGCGTTGAAAAAAACAAATCGCTCAAACTTTATGCTGTGCAAGTGACTGGACTATTTGCGACCTGCAAAAGCAATTTCCTGATATTTTCGTTGAAAGCTTTTGGATCTTTCGAAATTCTTGTACAATTGTGCGATTGTCGTGTCGACTCATTAAACGATATTTGCATGTTGCTTATCAGTATCGCGAATCGATTGCATAACCTACGAGATGAGAACAAAAGCGTCGAAAACGATCTTCGAATCGATATATTCTAAAGAGAGCGGCAGGAACAATTAAGAAGAAACTTTTTTTCCGTCTGTTAAAACGAACCATGCAACTTTTTCCTCGAATTGTCATAAAATGCCTAGCATCAGCCAGGCGCATCCGCACAATCTGCTATAGATGCTCAAAGAGTATTCGTAGACTGCTGAGAGAACAATCGCGATCATCCAAGTGACTCCGTTATAAAGTGCAGGGAATAATATACGTGCAAACGGCGTAGTGCAGCATCAGCGCTTGGCAGCAGCCAGCTATGCGCTATCTGCACTGAAAATGGAAAGGACGCGGCAACAAAGGCTCAATATGGAGGAGGATCAAAAGTTCTTTCTATTTACCGTTAAATACCAGTGCCCGTGGGTAAAACTGAGCGAATCTATTATTTCTGCGACACGCAGATGCATTTTCTTTTATTGAAATCGAAAGAAAACAATTTTACTCATATACGACGATAGGGAGCCGGAAAAATGATTGGCATAGTGACAACATAGCCAAGAACAAAAGAGGATCATTAAATGCAGTCAGTGGATTTTAAAAGGATATATAAAAGTTATCGTCTGGTTACCTGAAGCAAGAAGTTTCACTATTTTCTTCAGCAGAGTCGTAATGATCGGCCTAAAGGTAACTTGGCTGTCATCGAGGTTACCAAAAGTCAAGCATAATACCAAAATACCGCTGGCCAGCAAGACTTGCGCGTTTCCAGCGAAGCCCATTACTCTGCCCTCGATCGAGCTAGCTCGCCAAGCACTTGGACGCGCGCGTTAGGTAACTGCAGCGTCTATCTCATGGCGAAGCGGAAGGCGACGACCCTTTCACGCCTCGCTCGTCGCAGAGGAGGATGGCAAGAGAAAGAAACGCAGGCTGCAATCGTCGCATGTCGTGGCACGTGCCGACTTTACCATAGACTAATTTTACCGGCCGCGTATTGCTTGCCTTGTCGGCTAACGTATAGCCGTGCCTGCGTACGAGTTTGGCTTTAAGCTTGCGAGCTGCTCGAGCAGCCTAACAACAATGATGAGCTTTCTTGGCACTTGTGAGCTTAGAGAGCATTAAAGAGTGACGGATCGCAGAGACAGCGAATCAACGCCGAGCCTACGAGGCTGATCTAAATCTATGTCGTCTTCGAGAAAAAAACGTCTTCGCATAGAATGACAGGGGGAGATTCGTCAAGGTTTTGTTTTTAAAATAAGAGTAAGACTCTCAAATCCAAAGCTGCAAGGAAAATAAATGAAATTGAATTTCGTTTCATTTCGCTTTCACACGAAAATTGCTACCATGGACCATGAAAATTAAAGACTTTTTGAATCGAAACTTTCTTGCATTTATTAAATAATAAATCTATGAGATTCGATGGACAGAAAAAGTCAATCGTCACTGCCCACTTGACTCTCGAGAGGAAAGCAAAGTCGGTTCTGCGAATCTGCTTCGAAAAGTAAAAAAAAAAACTTCTTCGGACTATACCTGAGTTTATCAAAGCTCAAAGTGTCAAATGCGAATGAAAGCGCAGAACGTGTTCATTGAGCATAATTTTCTCGGCCAATCCATTAAATCAATCTCGCGTGGTAGACATTTGCAATTTTTCACGCTTCGTTTCCGTCAAAAGTCGTGATAAATTAGCTCGCGGATCAGCAGTTACCTTTTCCCAATAAGGCATACAAGGGCGCTGCGGCAAGTTTGTTGTGCAGAATCGCGCGTGCCAAGATACACTTAATGGCTAATCAGAGTGAAAAGAAAAAAATTGATCTCAAATATATTGCTACTGTATACACGACATGCAGTGTCGTGTGTCAACAGCAAAAGCCGGAGCGATGATGTTGGGTTTGCAATCTGATTTATAATAGCTAACGACGTGGGTCGAGCCTGTTGCGTATGTTTAAGAGCATATAACATACGGCTAGTGCACACTGTTTTCCGCGAGTAGGAGAGATAGCGCTAAAAAGAGGAATGAACGTTCTCGTAGGTAGTTTATCTAGTTTTAAAAACTGAAACTTCAAAGCAGTAGGAAATGACAAATGCAACCCGCGTACTTTTTTTATCAGTTATCCATCTTTTTCGAGATGGAGTATGAAAAAATGACTATTCAAATGATTTAAACTTTTCAAGATAATTTCGGCAAAAAAGAAGTGTTACGAAAAATGTATGAATTACACTTTTATCGAAGACTAAACAATATTGAAAAGCCTCTATCTCCTAATGTGCTCCTAATGTATGTTCCCATAAGAACTGAGGCATATGAGAAAATTAACGTATACTCGTCTGCCTCAGTTGTTACGAGAAATTACATTGAGAGCATGGATGCACTGCGGTATCGTTCAGTCCACAATAAGTTAATCTTTCCAAATAGTAAGTTTACAAATGTATACTAAATGAGCGTAAAAATGAAATTGACTATACACTTATAAATACGCAAACAACAATAGCTCGTAGCATTCATAGGGATGCAACTGAAGTAGGGAGATGTGGCAAGGAATGATTTATAGGCTTTGCGGGAGTTGGAGGGGTTGAAATGAATTTATAAAGGATTTCATATTGGAGGGTGATATTATCATAGGTTCAACAAGTGTCTAATCGTCTTTGTAAGCACACTTACACAACGTGTGTATGTCTTCATGCGCGAAAGAGAAACAGAGGCAATCACATTTATGAGTAGCGAGCCTGAAAATCGATTCTATAAATCATCGACAAATTTCCAGACTAAAATCGCAATTCAAATTTATGATATTTAATGCAAATCGTAGATGTTCACATGAACTACCATGTTTTGCAACGCTTTTAATTTTATAAAATATATGACAAAAATCAATGGTTGTTCAGTAAAAAATAGTTTAAAATTGTAGCAGAAATTTCAAATGGTTTTACTAATGTCAAACACGAAATAGCACATGATATTTATAATAACTTATAAAATTGGTCATAGATGTTCAAATATTGAAAAAATGCCTCTATCGTTTTCAATCCCGCGTATATTCGATGCTATCTAGAAGGTATATCAGTGATTTTGAACCAAACTTGGTGCTTGATGACTTTTTTCATTTCAGTAATTACGCGCCAAGAATT